ACTGAGGATCATGGGAAACAATTCATATCGAACAAGTAAAGCTTTTTTGATACAAACTGCAGCTTGAGGATGCTCAGTAGAAGTGAGACTGCAATTGGTAAAAGATGTGAAAGTCCATCAACAGTTATCAAGCGGTTGAAACATGTAAAATATATCTACCCATAATCCTTGTCCGCCTCATCTTTGTATCTTTTCAGGTGACTAGCTTTATTGAAATAAGTATACAGTCAATTCAAAAAATGTTGTCGTCGACCAACTTAAGCCTACGCGACTGGACCGAAAGGAACTCTGGGTAGTAATCATTGAAGCCGAGTTGACTCCATAATTTTATCTGACTAGTTATGCGTGGTTTACAGCACGAACCTTCGTAGGCGAGCGGGAAGTGTTGAAGGAGACGTTTTTTTAATGCCTTCATATTTTGGAAATTGTGAACTGAATCATAACTACTTTTTTTTTTTTATTCTTTCCCTAAACCCGAAGACATGCATTTATTGGATTGTTTCTCGCCATTATTATCTTATTACTAGCGGGAACAATTAATTCAGAACGAATATTTAATCGCTTCAGTGAGTTTTACCCATATTCCCTTCGGTCCAGCCGCGTAGGCTTGAGCTGGTCGACGACAACGTTTTTTGAATTGACTGTATGCAACTATACTTTTGTAATGCTACCATAAGTGAAATGAAAAACCTGAATGTCGTGCCAATGTCGGCCTTTGTTAGGTTTGAGGGCTAAGGTTTGGGCAACGATTTGGGAGCTTCTGTTATGATCACAATTTTGTTTATTATTCATACCGAGATTTCAATTTGGTTCGAGTTTTAAAAACGGTAAAAAAACAGTAAACGGTTTACAAAGTCTCTCAAAATCATGTGCGGCCTCAACCGGAGCCACATTACAACAGCCGACCACAATGACTTTGGAGCTAAACAATACCCTGCAATACAATAACCCTTACCCAAAATAAAATGTGGAGCAACAATTGAACAAGTACCGCTTCCACTACAAGAATAGGACCCTAGACTAGGTCAGGTTACCTCGGCCTCACTTTCAGTGCCATTGGTAACTTTACAACCGCAAAACAAGAACTGTGGACCGCATAGCACTTATGAAATACATGAAGATATAGAACTTATCTATCTCAATACAGTCTTGCTTTTCTTCACAGGCGAGGGCGTAAACTTAATAAACCATCAATCAATGTCTTTCTCTGACGAAGCCTGTTGTACTAGTAAGTTATATTGCCAATTAAATTTGACTTTCTATAAACTAATTGACAGCTTTAATCAAATTTCTATGCATTACAGGAAATGATTTAAAAAAACAAAGGAAACAACCAAGTCAAAGAAGCCCACAAAC